TTGATAGCTACTGTTTCTTAAATGTTGCGTGTTGCCATCTATATAAGGGGGTCGGCATTCTTATTCCCTTGTTCTGCCGGTGTGATCGGATAAGACTTTGCTGTAACGCACTGGATCACAATAGACGCCCAACTAAAGCTAAATCATCGTCCAACCGTACGCCAAATGGATGGCAACACTTTCCACCAAAATTATCACATAATTACGGAAAAAAAGGGAGACACTTGTTGTCTGTTTAAGCAAACACGAATAAGTTTTGAAATCAGTCACAGGTACACGGAAACACTGCTATTTGAGGTTTTGAAAAAAGGACAAGAATGACTCGTCCGTTGTCAAACATCCAACTTCTAGTGTAACTGAATCCATTCCCATTGCCTGTACCCCGTATCTCACAAACGAACCTTTACGCGGGCTCCAACGTGAGCTCCAGGGCAAAATCTGAACATATATTATTCAATTACTAGATCGGCAATTCCCACATGTTCACATTATATTGATTCTGTGCACAAAACCCCTCTTCCAAGCCAAATGTTCACACCAACCGCGTAGATTTATTTATGAAGCGAAGAAATAATGTGATGCCTACATATACAAGACGTTTTGGTTGGCGCAATTGAAAAGGAGTGTTCTAGCCAGGTGTTGGGACAAGTGCCCCAAAATCTGTGCCCCAATAGGAGGCGTCACTATATAAACACACGTTCATTTAAGACCATATAATTGTGTTATCTGGTCATTGGGGCTTTCCGAAAAATCTAACCTTACAAAGCAGCGCATCTATTAGGATTTTCCACCTTTAAAATTGTTAGGACTCCTGTGTCTTTCGCCGAATAGGGACTCCGCAGGTGGTCTCACGCTGGAACAGGTATTCAAGAAGGGTGACATAAACGGTGACATGAAGCTGAGCGCGGAGGAACGGTCGGCACTGAAGAAGACTTTGGAAAGCAAAAAGGTAAGTAACCATTTCGCCTTGGCTACCGAACTCTACCATCGTCTCGATACCAGCATGGTTTTGCACCGTTACTTTATCTCTGCCGGTTAGCTTGATGAGGCGGACCCTAGTCCTTGTGATCTTCAAGCCTCGCCTCCTTTTGAGAAGATTAAAAGGGAGACGCCAGGTGGTACGAATAGTATATTCTGTACAGAGCTAGTGAAGAATGGATAAGAGTAAGCTAACTGTCGGATGAATTTACAACTACTCGTGAGACGACCAGTGTCTGAAGTGTGTGAGTGTGGAAGTTTTCACAAGCGCCCCTCGCGAGTTAATGCATGAGTTAGCCTCAGGGATATAATTGGCCAGACCGGATTGGCGGCGGCCTACAAGTGCGCACGTGATTCCAGTCACGAGAGACGAACGATTGAGCGATCTTGGACCACTACAAGGTCCCACTTACGTAGAATGCAAAAGCATCTGATGTGCAGCATCAATTAGGCGTGCAATCACGGGCGTACCTCCTCTCCGACAGCGATTGTCTTGCATCACGTCCACCAAAACCACCATAGGAGGCAATCCGTGGTTTTGTGCGCATGTTTGGACGCTTACATCGAGATAACTCTGTCGCCCAATTACTGCGGCGGCGTGCTCGAG